CGGCTGGCAATTTGCTTCTGAAAGACCCTTGAAAACCTACAAGTAGTTCTAACCTGCACATAGTGGGTTACTGTGTCAGAATCAACTTGATGACAACTATTAAGAACAACATCAAAAACATATACAACTCTTTTCCTTCCTGGTTGGCTAAGGTGTGACCACCATTGTGAAAGACACAGCAATTATCTGCACCAGGAAGTTCATGACCAACCAGATACTCCAGCAAGAACAAGTGGCCATTGATGTTCTTCAAACAATCCCCAAAATTCCCAGAAATTCAGCGAAAACAAGGTGAAGTATACAAGACCACATCAGTTGTCATGTTTGTGTTTGGATTCAGAACCCATTCCGGTGGTGGCAAGATGACTGCCTTTGATTTTGCGGAGGAAAATGAACTCAAACATAGACTTGCAAGACATAGTTTCTATGAGAAGAAACAGACCACCAGCAAACAGCCCAAGAAATGCAAGAACAAGACGAAGGAAGTCGGGACTGCAATGGCCAATGTCGGTGCTGGCAAAAGAGGAATAAATATTCTGCAGTGACTTGTGCCACGATGATCGTGTGGATTTTTCATCAGATGATTGATAAACTGTAAAAACTTAAAGGTAGTGTCTACGTTGGACCATCCTTTCTTAACTTCCCTTTCTTGCCCTTTCCCCAGGGGCTAGTCAATTACATAAATTATTTGTGCAAGGCTCTCCTTCCAAGTCTCTGCCTTCAGTGAGTCTCATCTTTGCTCCTGTGGGACAACATGAAGCACAGTCAGGTTTGGGACCCACTCCGCCACATTCAGATGAATGAATAAATGGTATAGATCTATTTGCATTACCTCCTCTTCTTTACGGATATTACACTGTATGGGAGTAACTTGAACTTGGCTGTTGGGAGGCAGACTGGCCTTCAGTTCTTCTGATGCAGATTTTAATCTATCAAATTGACGAGATGCAATGACCACATTACACCCTGAGGGGAAAAGAGAGAAGAGTAATTAACTTCCGATAACAATCATGTTTAGAAATAATCCATATGCTCCTATAACAAAAGAAAGGTGGATTAGGATTTCTGCTTCCGGACTAGATGGAATCTAGTAATTAGATTTATCCTCTAGACCAAAATGATTAAGAAACTTGGATGAAATCTATGAGACAACAGTTTTTAGGCTTTGGACATCTGGTAACACAGACCCGTGATCCCTGAAAGAGTGGAAAGGAATTCTGTGATTGCCCTTGTCTACTACCTAGAGCCATGGTATTTTCAACCACGTTATAAGTATGTGAAAGTTGGACAATGAATAAGGAAGACCAGAGAAGAATCTATGCATTTGAATTATGATGCTGGAGAAGAATTTGAAGTACCACGGACTGCCAGAAAAACAAACAAATATGTCTTGGACGAAGTACAGACAAAATGTTCCTTAGAAGCCAGAATAGTGAGACTTCATCTCTCATACTTCACACATATTATCAGACCAGTCCCTAGAGAAGCACAGCATGTTGGGTAGAGTGGAGTGTCAGCAAAAAACAAGATGGACGGGCACAGTGGCAGCAGCCATGGACTCAAGCTTAACAACAACTGTAAGGATGGTGCAGAGCCAAGCAGTGTCTCTTCTGTTATGCATAGGGTTGCTGAGTCAGAACCAACTCAAGGGTACCTAAGACACAACAACACGACCTAGAGAATGTGCTGGCTGCAGCAGATGGAGGAGAAACCTACCCAAACCCAGCAGTGTCCTGGGTGGAAGAGACAATGTTGGGAGTCCAGGAGGCTAACTCATCTAAATTATGAGGCGCACAGAGAGAAGAGAGGTTGGGAGCAAGAACTGCAGAATCTGCAGAGGGTATCCCCAAATTTCAGCTGAGTCCTAATCAGTACAAATGAATAAGTCATTGTCCTAGTTATCTACTGCTGCTAAAATAGAAATACCACAAGTGGGGGCCTTAAACAAACATATATTTATTTTCTTACAGTTTGGCAGCCTAGAAGTCCAAATTCAGGGTGCTGGCTCTCCGGCTCTGTCTGCCTGGAAGAAGGGCCTTGTCTGAGTTTTTGCTCCTAGGCGAGTTCCATGTGACTTGGCATTTCTCTTCCTACATCTCTGCTCTAATAGCTTATTTAATCTATTTTTACATCTCAAAATAAATCATCTACTAATCTCACCTCATTAACATAACAAAGACACCTAATTTCCAAAAGCAATTCTTGTTCTTGTTAGGTGCCATACAATTGGTACCGACTCATAGTGACCTTATGCACAGCAGAATGAAACAGTGCCCAATCCTGGGCCAACCTCACTACTGTTGCCACACTTGAGTCCATCGATGCTGCCACTTGGCCAATCCATCTCGTTGGGAGTCTTCCTGTTTTTCTCTGACCCTCCATCTTACCAAACATGATATCCTTCACTAGCAACTGGTCCCTCCTGACAATATGTCTGAAGCATGAGAGACGAAATTTGGCCATCTTGGCCTCCAAGGAGTACTCTGACTGCACTTCTTCCAAAATGTATCTATTGGTTCTTTTGGCAGCCCACAGCACTATCAATATTCTCCTCCAACACCATAACTCAAAGGCATCAATTCTTCTACAGTCTTCCTTATTCACTGTCCAGCTTTTGCATGTAGATGAGGTTATTAAAAATACCATGGCTTGGGTCAGGTGCACCTTAGTCCTCAAGCTGACATCTTTGCTCTTCAACAGTTTTAAAAAAAAGGAATTCTAGCCACTCATAGTGACCCTATATAGGATTTCCTGTACTATAAATCTTTATGGAAGCAGACAGTCTCATATTTCTCCTGTGGAACAGCTGATAGGTTTGATCTGACAACCGTATGGTTAGTTGTTGTTGTTGTTAAGTGCCGTCGAGTCAATAGCGACCACAGCGATCCTGTATAGGGTTTCCGAGGAGCAGCTGGTGAGCTTGAACCACTGACCTTGCAGTTCAAACGACTTTGCAGTCTGACACATTAGCCCACAGCACCACACCAGGTCTACAGCGCTTATCCTACAAGCGCCACCAGGGCTCCTTAAACCATGGGCCTCTGGCTTAGGATTTACAGCACACACACTTGGGGGGAACACA